TTTTTTTTTCCTTTTATTTGCTTTTTAAACTATTCCAATTTAATGACATCACAAAAATAATTTTTTTTTTTTTTTTTGCAAACTGGTAACCGACAAAGACGATCAGTAACAGCAAAAAAAATCTTCTACAAATTTTTTTTTATCCTAACCATTGTTATAAGAACTGTTTTCCCATCAAATGAAATCAAATTTTTCCTCCAAAATTATCCTACCTATACACATTTACTGCCTGAGAACACCAAAAAAAAAAAAGAAAAGATAATTTTTCTTTTGTTTTAACGTTTCAATCTCTACAATAAACGGTTTTCAACTAAACTATTCTTTTTTTGCTAGTGCGAATCAGTGAAGAAACAGAGAATAACAAAAAAACAAAAAAAGCAAAATCAGCTAAAATAAAGAAATTCTAACAAACCTCGAAATAGATGTGGACAATACTGCTGTAAATCGTCCAGCAACGTCCGATTTGTTAACGGTAACGGTGGTCCATCATATGGACAATTCTGCACTAAACCATTCGAGAATCCACATGCGCCACGCATGACACATCGTCTCGGTGAAAATATGGGATCAATTATCATTGATGTCGTCGTCGTTGGTGTTTTTACTGATACCAATTTTCGTTTTTCTAATTTTACTGCTGCTGCTGCTGCCGCTACTACTACTTTCCTCTCTTCCTTTTCGTCATCTTCTATACTATTGGCAGCAATTGTTGATATTGTTTGTCCAACAACCAATTGATCATCATCGTCGTGGATCCATCGATGTTGTTCCGGCTGCAACACCGAAGTTTCCTGGACAAATTTTGCATTACCAATTCTGCTGTTTGCTGCTGTTTCGGCTATAACTGTTAGGAATGCTGTTGCAGCAACAGTTATACCTACTGTTATCAACAATGTATCCAGCGGAAATATCATGGAAGTTGCAGTCGTACCGCCAGTCTGAAAAAATCTTTATTTGTTCATCTTTTTTTTTTTCTTAACAACGAAAGCGTACGTCTAATTTATCACAGATATCAATAGTAGCAAAAAAAGCAATCAATTTTTTCAAATAAATAAATTATAATTGCAAAAATACAACAGTTGTACTGAAAAAAAAAAAAGCGGATAAAAAATAGTTACAAAGAAACGATAGCAAAAAAGTTGAACAAAATTAGAAAAGAAATATTGATAGCAAACAATACAGAACTTTCTGAGTGAAAAATAAATTTTGAGTTCCTACGTAGAGATATATAAATTGTTGTCTTCTTTTTTTTTATCATTTTTATTTTTTTTTTTTGTCCTCTTCCTTACCTTTCCGCAACCACATTCTCCATTCCCCACAAAAATTCTGTATTGTGTTGCAGATTAAAACCTTCTGATGAACAAATTTGCAATACCAAATTTGTTTAGTTGGTTGACTGAGCAGTTTAGACGGTCAGTTAGTTGGTTGGTTAGTTTTGCCTGTGTGTAAGATTTGTGCCGTTGTTCACTTAACTCATTCCATCAATATATACATATAAATTGAATAAGACACATAAAAACCAATGTATATATATATATATATATATATATATATATATA